CTATCTCGTCCACTATCTCGTCCACTATCTCGTCCACTATCTCGTCCATCATCTCGCCCACCATTGCGACAGTCATCTTGTTGGCCACCATCTCATCCACTATCTCGTCCATCATCTCGGGCACCATCTCATCCACTACTTCGTTTACCATCTCTTTGACTATCTTACCACCATCTCATCCACTATCTCGTTCATCACCTCGTCACCATCTCGGTCACCACCTCGTCCATCATCACGGTCACCACCTCGTCCACCATCACGGTCACCACCATCTCGTCCACCATGGCAGGAGGAAATAAGCGTGAAAGATGCTATAAACCTATTACGATCGAATCTGCTTGGGATGATTTGCTGCAGGATGCTAGGAACATCCAACTTTATGGATTGCATACGTCTCATCGCAAATCGCTAAGAGGCGCCCAAAAAGTGGTCAAAGGGCTTTCTACAGGTGCGGAAGCACGGGACTACAAACATTTCCTGAATATAATTCACCGTGACTGCGGGATTGAGGTGATGTTTGTAGTCAGCTCGAGCGTAGGCATCGTTCGCTTTAGTCGATTTTCAGCCAAGGTTAGAAAAGCTTTCCTCGACAGGCTCCGAAGCGAAGGCAAAGTTGCGATCAGTCGCTGCGGAAACTTCGAAGAGAATACCAAAGAGTGGTTTCCGGAAACCGAGGTCCTTCATTATCATCACGTTGACGAGAGTCCTCAAACTCAAACGCATACGATATTTGAAAATGCGTTTACCCAAGGATTTGAATTTGTTTTTGGCAACAGTATATGCTATACAATTTACAAGCAAATGGCTCAAGCTGCAAGGTATACAGTTCTCACCGGCGCTATCAAGATGTCTTTTCCGATTCGAGGTTCGACAGACTGCAGCTTGTGCTTAGTCATCCCTGCCAGCTGGGTCGCTGCGGTCGCCAAAGCTTTGTTTGATGTGGATGTAGAATCTGATGGCGAGACACGGTACATTATACATAAAGTGAAAATATACCCAGATCCAAAATATCCATTGACAGGCATTAGCACTACATTAATACCTCCCGTCTTTGGTGAGAATATAGCTTCTGCAATGTTGGCGAGTAGCAAGAGGGAAGAGGAGGTGGAGAAGAGTATTGAAAAAACGGATTGTGTCTCCATGACTTGGACGAGCGACCCGGATGAAGATGGAATCATCAATATCATCCTAGGTCTCGAACGTAGTGTCGAGCTATGCAATATACTATACTAATACATCACTTCTCTTCCTTAACTTCTCCATCCGGAATATACATTGCTTCACCTTTCTCCAATTTCCTTTGTCCGGATGGCCCCAGAAATTCCGCATGCCCTTTGCTCTTATAATACGTGACCTCGGTACACTTTTGCCATTTCACGGTTTGGCCATCACCGTTGATCCAAGCAGGCTTAGTAAGCTTGCGCTGCACTGTATTAGTATGAAAATTGGTTCCAGTGGAGGCACTTACCATAGGATGTCTGGTTGAAATGAGAAAGACGTACGAGACCCAAATTGCTGAGATAGTAGATGGTAGATTAAATAGACGATGCGCCCTTGGCTATAACAATACCATCTGCTCCTGCTCTTTCGTTGAGCGTCGGCATAGAAGAAATGTTGGGCAAATATGAAGCCTCGTCAGACTTCAAGTGGAGAATCAGGAAGATCGTTGCCTATATATGTTGTCAGTTTGGTTTTAGGCAAGGTACTGGATATTTGATATCACCGAACGATTATTCCCTCTAAGCGGCAGATGGCAGAATGAAGTCGTTGCTTGCGTCGATCCGAGGAAGAAGTTGAACGAAATCAGAAGCTCTGCGGGTGAAGTCAGCTGTTTCGAAGATACGTTGCCCCACTATTGACTTGTCATCTGATGAAACATTTTGGGCATCAATCCAATCCAGGAGCAGCCGAAACAGAACAAGTGCCTAAAGCAGGCTTGAAGTCGCGATGGGAACAATTGCCAGCCTAGAAAGACTCGAAACCCTGTCAAATATGTCGAATCGCCAGGTGTTGCAAAATTGAGGAAAAATTGGGTAGGCGCCACGTCTCTGTGGAGGTGCAGCGATTCCCCGCCTATGCTTGCTGCACGTCTTTTGGGCCACTATGCCAGAGTCACTAAGCCTTACATACCGCAGGTTCGCTAGAAGTGTCAAGCAGTCGCGCACACCACCAAGTCGCGCAGCACACCAGCCATCAAAATTTTTAATGAACTATCCTATATTTTGTACACTCTGAGGCTTGATGATCATATCCACGACAAATATAGCATGTAATTTGCGGTGTTTCAGCTGCATTTGGCGCCTCACGTGATTCCTGAGCTTCCTCAACTGCTGCTACCACCTCGCTATTTTCAGTCCTAGGAGACTGTTGAATCAACTGAGAGGCCTGAGAAACAGTTAAGCTAGTTGCCTTGCTTATATGTCGTCTCTTTAATAGCTTCTTTTTTTTCTGTCGCTCATTAGCAGCTCTTAATCTCTCATTCTCAGCAGTCAGTAGGGCTGCGCCTTACATAGATAGCTCACAGCCTTTCACCAGCTGTTGTATTGCCTGATTAGTTGGTGTAGGTGGACTACGTGATTGTTTCCTAAGTAGATCTTGCATCGCCCCTACATGCTGATATAGCTGAGTAAGATTGTGAGGAGTTTTGGGTGTAAATTGCTGATCATCTGTTGGTAGGTGGCCTCGAGATTGTCGATAGAACTTGTTCTGGGTTGAATGGGACAATTCCAGTAGCAGCAAATCCACTATAGATATTACTAAGTGAAAATGCCTCTGATCGAGCAGTTTTCAAGCATGCAAGAAACTCCGCTTTGTCGATGTGAGAGATGCCAAGCCTCATCAGGTTTGCGAATGGTGTTCGTCGCTATGGATGGGGTGTTGCTGGGTTGATAATTTCAAGTTTCTGAAACAGCCTGTTCTCTGTCGCTGTTGCTATTATAAGCATAAATGGGCTTTGCATTGTACTGCGGGTTGGGGCTGGCGCGGTCCGATGGACAAGCGGCCAGATTAGGTGGTTAGTAGGCAGTGTCTTAAGTTTGCCTAGGACATTTAACGCCCTTTGTCTGAGTCTAAGGTGTGTTGGGAGAAGGTTTGATTCGATCTCGAGCGCGTCAGTGGAAACTATACGGAACACTGAGATAGATTTGATCGCCGCTATGCGTTGGATCTTCCGGAGCACTGTCGTCTGCTATACTCTTCCTTGTCTATACCACACTGTTGAGGCGTAGTCGAGTTTAGGCAACACGCATGCCTGGTATAGCTGCCGCATTTGTTTTGGTCTTAGGTGACGAAGTCGGCTTATGCCTATACACGTGTTGGTTGCTCGCTTGGATACCCTTTGTGTGTGGGCTCGCCATCTGAGCTCTGAGTTGAAGATTACTCCTAGGAGCTTCACATTGCTAGAGGGGGAGATCTCCTGGCCATTCATGACGATCGAGCTAGTTGTTTGCTTGTTTCAGGAACGAGTGAAGTGTATCAACTCCGTTTTCCCAACTTCAAAGGTTGCCCCAGTCTAATTAGCCCATTTATTAATCCTAGGAATATCTTCTGCTTAGAGCTTTCGGGTATTTTCTTCAGCGCTAGGTCCGCAGTGCCAGCAGAAGTAATCATCAATGAATGCCGATGCACCACCTGTGTCGTCTACAGTTTGGTCTACTAGCTTCTAGTTATAGATTGTGTATAGAATGGGTGAGATCGGGGACCCCTGTGGTAATCCCGGGTAGGCCACTAAGTTCTTGTCTGAGCAGTAGCCGTCAAATCTGAAGCTTGCCCATCTGTCTTTCATGAAGCTGTCTATCCACTGTCGTGCTACTGCTGGTATCCCCATTTTGCAGAGTATTTGGTTCATGACTAGGCGATTGACGCTGTTGAAGGCGCCTTTAACATCAAGGGCTAATAGTGTCACTACCTTGCTCTATCTCCTTACTTTCCATATTACGTCAACTAGGATAAGGAGTGCTTGTTCAGTGGATCGCCCAGGCCTGCCTCTAAAGTGCGTACTTAGGAGAAGGTTGTGGCACTCTACATAGTATGACATTCTTCTCGCAACTGTTGCTTCTAGGAGTTTGCCTAAAGTATTGAGTAGAGAGATGGGCCTGTACACGCTAGGTTGCGTATAGTCTGGCTTCCCTGACTTGCGCTGGACTGCAATGGTTGCTGTTCTCCATGACCTTGGGTGGTGTCCTAGGCGAAGTGCTGCTTCAAATAGGGTAGTGATAACAGGTGATATATGTTTCCAGGTTTTCTTCCACACAACATATGGTAGCCCGTTATCTCCTAGGGCAGATAAATCCTTTGTTGTGACCAACGCGGCATGGATCTCGCCCTCGGTGATTGGTTCCCAAAGAAGTTCAGCCTCTGCTATATATTTATTATTAAGGGACATTGCTGGTATAGGTGTAGGTAGGAAGAATGATTCCATGAAGAGCTTGGCCTTGTCTTCACTTTCAATCGCTTGCTGCTCCCTATCACGCAGTGGTGGAATGTTTGCATATTCGGTACCTGGTTCCACATATTTCACGGCCTTCTATAGAAGGTTCCCATCTGCAGCTTGGTCGAGGAAGTCTTTCCAATGTGTGGATTTAGCTCGTTAAATGGCCTTCGCCCATTCCTTCCTGCGACCTTGCATTAATACAAATAGTTCTTAGGTGACGTGGTGCTCGCGGCTTAGTCTAGCTGTGGATGTTTGCCACTTTCGCCGTGCTTTATTGCACTGTCGTTGCTTCTCTTTCAGATCTGGGGTAAACCAACACTTAGAATATGGTCATGGGTTGGCTAGTGGGGTTTGCTTTTCGACTGCATCAGCTGTTATCCTTGTAAAGTGTTCCACTAGCTCATCCAACTGTTCGTTTGTGTCGATATTGGCGTAGCTTCTAATACGTCGCATTATTAGGTCGCCAACGCTGTCCCAGTCTGTCTGCTCGTACAAACAGCGTGGTGGTTTTTCCTCTCTCTGCTGCACAGGGAAATTCCATTCTGAAACAATGCCGCGGTGGTCGGATCCGTAGTTTTCATGGTACAAGTGGCACTTTCTGAGTCGACCTGATACATTGCTTAAAGTCAGGTCAAGTGTGGTTCTACTCCCTGGCCGAGTCACAGTCCAGCACGTTGGTTCGCCTCGTCGTAGTTGGTGGTATAGGCTGTGTTCCTCTATGAAACTGAGGAGGCTGGCTGCTTCTCCTACTCTATATGGCTGAATGTTGTCACCTCCCTATAGTGGATCTTGCCCATTGAAGTCTCCACCTATTATTAGCTTATAAGCATCTTCTGTGGCAGGAGAGTTCTGCGCAATAGTACTGTTGATGGCCTCTAGGACAGCTTGCATTTCACCCTCTGCTACTTCGCGGGTGCTCCTAATAGGCGGAACGTAGACTGAGAAGATCATGACTGGCCCTGCTAGTGTGCTAACCAATATTCCAGTTACATCCAGGTTGTTGCACCGGAGTTGTTGATGTGCCGGAGGAGCAAGTCATTTGTTGACGTATATGAGGCTGCGGCACCGTCCTTCTCTGTCTGAGGTTGGTTGGTATAGCTGCCAACATCGGTGTTGTGTGTGTGTTTTGTAGTATGAGACTGAGGGTTCTTGGATTAGGAGTATGTCAAGCTTCGCTGACTGTGTGTCGTTAATTAGGGCTTCCATGCATGCTCTGGAGCGCATAGTGTTCAATTGTAATATTCGTAGGGTGGTCATTATTGGAAACGTGGAAATCTTGTGGCCCGATTGGTGCATTCAGCTGCTTCTATGTGATGTCCTTAGTTACAGTCTGCGCATCGAGGTTGAGTTCCCTCTGGGCATTCGCTCTTGTCATGGTCTTCCAGGCAGTGTGCACATCTTCTTTTTTCTTTACAATTCCAAGCTAGGTGTCCAATTCTTGCACACCGGTGACATCTCTTCCTTCTTAGTCTTATATGGCTCGACGCTGCTAATATACTGCTTACTAAAGAGAACTCTATTGCGCACTGCCCACTCAACCGCACTAGGGCTGTTAAACCATATTCCTAGTGAGGCATGCTTTCTAAGGGGTATGTCTTTGCGTTTTAGCCAGGCTATATCTGTGATACGGTAGCCTTTTAAGGTGAGGTCGTTCTCTTCTAGGAGCTTAGTTGCCGCCTCTGTCTTGTCTTGTTATCTAGTTGGACCTGTTCAGTTGAGGTGCGATAGACCACAATACCATATTAGGGTCTATCAATCTTTGTCTCTAGATAGAGGTCTGCTAACTATTCATCATGTTTAGAGGCTATCTCCTTTGATTTCTCATTTTTAAAGCGTATAACATAGCCAAACTTTATTACGCCTACTCCTGCTATCTCTGTTTCCTTCGTGCTCTCATGCTTTTGTAGGGCTCTAGTAATCTAGTTGGTCGCCTCTTTCACATCCATATATCTCATGAACTTTTCCTTTGTAACTGCATTTATACTCTCCTCCTGTTGCACTAGGGGGGTGATAATACGCAAGTTAGTAGATCCAATCACGCTCTAGCTGCTACTTCCTATAGATTATAAGAGTGGGATACTTGCGGAGCTTGCAATACCGTGTGAGGCTACAGCGGCCCATATAGGCGCTGGTATTTTTACGTTCTGGATTGACTTTTCGACTGTGGCTGCCAGCCTTTCCTCTGTACCAACCTGCGCATTTTCAAATGCTATAGATAGCTTATTTATAACAAAAGAGTTGATCCTTTCCACTAGATTGGTCTCGAAGGTTTCAAGATACTGCTTAACTATTATACTATTAAAACTAAGGCTATCCTCAGTTATCTTTTTATACTGTTTAACTCGGTCGATTAGCTCTTTAAATAGGCTCCTTTCAATGCTGATTGTCTTTATTTTACCCTTAGACTGCTGGCTTTGGACTAGCTTCTAGCACATTTTTAGGAGGCGGATAGCGGCGTTTGCTCCTGCTTGGTCCTTCTTTTTGGATGTTGTACATGTCTTCCCCCTAGTGTTCACCCCTTCTGTAGTGTTCACCCCTTCTGTAGCGCTCACCACTACTATCTCCTCTCTATCCACCATTTTGATGTCCGATGGGGTAGGGTATAGTGCATGAGCCACGTGTTAGCGTGTTAAGGTCTCGGCGCGTCGATAATAGCGCGTTTCCACCTGCTGCAGATGATCTACTCGTTTTCCAAGCTCTTCGATTTTCCAAGCTCTTCTGATTCGATTTTCTTGGAGTAGACTGATTCATTTAACCTCCGCATTCTGTATGATTCGGATATTGAGGAAAGATATCGCTGGTCCCAGATCTTGAATGCCATATCTGGTATTAAGCTCATGTTGTAGTTGAGTGAGTTCAGCTCGTCGCGTTGGATGTGCGATGAACAGCATATCATCAACATAGACATATATTAGGATCTCGGTTGTTTCGTTGATGAATAGGCATGTTTCATCTGAGCATGGTTCAAAATTTAGCGAAGTGCTTTGCGAAGTTTGTAGACTTTGCCTTTTATCCGATAACCCGGGGCAGTAGTTATATAAATTGTTTGATTGTTGGATGCTTTTGTGAAAGCATTCTTGATATCACCTTTTTCACATATAAGATCAAACGCTGCCACGATTGCTAGTAGGGTGCAAAGTGTGCGGTAGGCCCCTATTGCTGCATAGATTTCTTCATGGGTAGGTGTCACACTGTGGCGCTAGCGATGCTAGGCAGTGCTGAGGACTGCTGTGCGCAGCGTATTAACGAGCTACAGAAGATGATAGATGGATGGAAAACTAGGTAATTGAGAGGATAGGAGGTGGTCCTTTTATTGACTATCTGCAATGTGAGAGATCACCTCCTATCCTCTCAATTATCTAGTTTTCCATCCATCTATCAGCTTCTGTAGCTCGTTAATACGCCGCGCACAGCAGTCCTCAGTACTGCCTAGCATCGCTAGCGCCACAGTGCGACAGTTATGAGACCGGACAGCGTCGAAAATACAAGCTACAAGCAAATTCCTGATCCATATGGCTGAATGATCAGACATGCACAGAGAGCAAGTTAAGACTCCATTCATCTGAGGCGACAGCGCTGCGAGAGACGTCTCGCGGTTCCGCAACACCTTCCTATAGACCATGATTCATAGGAGGTCGTTGACGATACTCAGCATCGGAAGGGCCAGGAAGACTAGCAAGCTGCCAATAACCCTAATGAAGTGTAAACCGGCATCTCGAAGCCCATATCTCCTCAGCATATGTGACAGAAGACCAAGCCAGCAGCGAGCAACTTGACTACGCACAGAAGCGAGGCACCATGGCTGATCACCTGGATAAGGCCTTAAGCGAGCAAGTCAGCAACTGCCTGAGCTATTTTTCCAACCATACAGCAGTTGCTAACAATGCACTGCTAAGGTTATGCGAATGTAAAGCAAGGAGATACCTTGTAAACAAAGCAAGGAGATACCTTGTAAAGCTCCAGCGATATCGCTCAGAGAGAAGTGAGCAAGATAGGTCGCCAGGAATGCTTTACATAGCAAGGATACTCAGCTAAGTTCTTAAAAAGACTGCTTATCAGTACACTTGAAGCAATTGTACAAGCAATCGCTAACTGTTTAAGCAAGAAATCAAGCAAATAATCAATCCAAAACAATGGCGCTGATAGCATCTAAGGTCTCGCAGCTCAGTACACCACAGGACTGGATACAATGGTTCAGCATGGTGAAAACAACTGCAATGGATCAAGATGTGTGGTCCTACTGCGACCCTGATAAAAGCAATGAGCTAGTTCAGCCAGGCGATCCAAGTCAGCTAACAGCTACCCAAGAGCGGCTGTATACGCTTAAGATCAACGATTACGAGCGGAAGCGGAAAGGACTAGCCAAAGTCAATGCGACCATCCAAGGCACAGTTTGCGAGGACTACCAGACCTACCTTTAACCCTAGCCCCATGTTTGAGTCAACTTGATAAATGATTCTGTGGCCAGCATAAGATATATGTCGTTCTTTGATGGTAAGGTGTACGCCATATAAAATCCTAAATAAGCATCATAGAAATGGAGAACCTAGCAATCTGCATTGAATGCCTATTCGACTTCAATAATATCAAAGTGGACCTTTTTAAAAGGGTAAGTGCTTGGGTCTAGAGGTGCCAGCTGTTGTTGTCTGTGTCGTTGGCCTTGGGTGCACTCATCACACAATTGGTTGGTGTGTCTTGAGGGTTACATCAGCATTTTCACGCCAGTGGTGTGGTTTAGAAGTCGTTTAAGTACTTCAAGACTGGGATGACCTAGTCTAATATGCCACTGATTAATTGATGCTGTTAATGACAGGGGTTGCTTTACAGTTGCCATTGCCGACTTCTGTCTTTGATAATATTTTTCAATAATAGGCCATCCATCTTACTTAGTTATTTTGATATAATGCTTGCCATCTTGCATTAGCTACCCAATTTTGTCATTCTATCTCACTCCCTTTGCTTTGAGTCTTGGGTATGAGACTAGATTGACGTGGAAGCCAGGACAGTATGCGACATCTTGAAGGGTCATCTGTATCTCGCCTTCTGAGCCTTGGACTGTTATTATTTATTGTACCTACACCTGTTATCACTACATAAGTGTCTGCTAGCATTTTGAGTCAGTTCCAAAGTAGTGAATCGCTTTTGGTTATTGCACACATATATGTTTAAGCACGAATCAAGTCTGAACAGTTTAGCATGCTTCGACATGGTTGTGGTTGATAGTGCTTATCATTGGGTTACGAACACTGCTCGCCCTGCTGATATTATTGTCTTTTGGTCGGCTGGATTTAATTTTGGATACCAATTAGGAAGGCTTATTTGGGCCTTATCAAGCACTGTTTGGATGTTTTCATTGAGCCGCTTATTTCCTTGTAGTAGGCTGATCATTTTTGCGTGTACAGCCTCGCGCCGTTTCCAGTATGATAGTGCTAGATCTGGAACAAGATAGGAGCATTTCGTGTAGTGGTGGTTGTTTCCACATATACACTTCAATTCGTACTATGTGGATCTTCCTTTTGTTTTATTCATTCGACGCTTTTTCTTTGGTTGATTTGAGCCATCTGATTTCTCAGCTTCATTTTCAGTGTTATTGTCATATTTGCATTTTTTGATGCATGAGGACGAAGTAATTGCAAAGATAGCAAGCATCTTAACTGGAGCAGACGACCCGAGGCGGCAGAGTTGGGAGCACAATCTCGCAGTAGTAGAGAAGTTGGATGGATTTTCGCTTCCGTTACCGTTTGCTTCGCTTGTTGCGCGAACTGATTCTTCGCATCCTATTATTTGATCTTCAACAAACTGCAAACCTGCTGAAGATCCCGCTGAGCATGCTGTCCACAAAACCGCGATAATATGTCTAGCAGCTTGGGATCATATTGGCTCACGTCAGACCTTTCGAAAGCCTCAGTGGGCAAGACAACGATAACTAGCCGCATTTGCCTTGTCCGCGGATATCTCTTCGCCATGCGGCAAAGGAATCTCAAAGCTTCTTTATATCTGCTCACTTTAGTAATGATATTAAGGAGGCGCCTCATCAAGTTCAGGTTCATGTAGGTGCTAGGTATTGCAGGAAGAATCAACTGGATGTCTTCAATTCAGCTGAGTTGATAGATGCATGCTACTAGGTCCTCAAGTCGGGCCATGGTCTGATGCTTATCCCACTTATCAGCCACCTGTATCACTTTCTTTGCTTTGTGGACAAAAACCCTTGGAGAAAAGGATATGTGGCTTGAGTTTTTGGGTCTTAAGCAGGTTCAAAGAGTGGACAGTGTCCTGGAGGATAGTCTTAATCAACAGCCTCGCTATATTCCAACTAGTTGTAATGAATCCCAGGCAGTAAAGGATACAATCATGATACATAGTGATAATAGTGGTGAAAACATTCTTTTAAATTATCAAATTGTTATCTTAAAGCTAGGATAATTCTACAAAGATTTCTTCGAAATGCCTCGCTAGGCTCTGAAGAGTTTGGTTGCTATCCTCTATATTAATTTTGTTCACAGTAAGCAGAACATTGAGTGATTCTGATTCTGTGTTCTCTGCAATGGAAAGTGAAGGGATATGATTAGGGTCATCTTTTGTGCTAGAGAGAAACGCGAGTGTGCTTGCTAACCTTTATTCTCTGTCAAAAGGAAGCGTATAGCCATTGCCTTAGACGAGGGCATAGCTTATTAGGTTGTTAAATGGCGGGCTAATTACTGGTTATAGGAGGTGAACCAGCGCGATATCTTCAGCGCAGTGGATTGTCGGGATGGGACATCTATTTGAAGCTATTGTAGAGATAGTTTAAGTCACTAATTTTTACGCTAGAGTTTGGGTCTTTTTCTAAATCTTATCGCTAGAGGGGGGTGAAGCTTCGCTCTCTATCCAAGCTGCACATGCCCCGCATCTCAGCTCCATGGACAAAGGGATTCAGCGAAATGGCTTAATGAAGCCACCTTTATTGTAATATACACATACGCCTGATCTCCACTAGTGTGTCTTAAGTCAATTTGCTTTAAAACTGATCCTATCATTAAAGCAGGTATGTAGCTTCAAATGACGAATTTGATGTGGTTTATTGACGATCATACCCATAAAGATCTGATACATTAACATATAGACCATGTATGTTACTCTCAAAACATCTCAACGTACCTTTATTACCAACCCTGAAGGATGGCTGGGTCAGAGTTTATATCTCGAGAATCTTTTCCCCAGAAAATGGGGTGATAAATAGGAGGATGGCTTAAACTTTATTGAGAGTGACGCCGACATCTTTAAGTATACCCTCCATTATCTCCGTACTGGAGTTCTTCCAGTTTTTTACGAGAAATCAGCAGGTCACAACTTCACACTGTACCAGGCCTTGTTAGAAGAGTCAACCTATTTCACTATTGACCGACTACAAAAGTGGTTATGCAAGAGAAAATATCTGGACCCTGTGAAAATCAATTATCTTGCCACAGAAACTCAAAATTGGGGATCCTACAGAAAATACACCACGAATAAGCTTGATAGTCGCACATTTATAGAAGAAGATCACTTTATTAAGATTGAAACAAGTAGCAATATAGAGATAACAATATTTCCTATAACGCTACAACAGAACACATTTTACTGCCCCAATGCAAAGCATGGTAAGAGTAATGAAGAATATTGCAGGAGCTACGTTGGCCAAGCGAGAGACCATAGAATCATGAACCTGCGCGGGTGGAAAAGGGATGACCAACTCAAGTGGTGTATCATACAAAAAGAAGTCGTTTTCAACCATGATCTCTGTGTTAACGCATTCCTGGAAGACGTTTACTCACCACGTTGATAGATTTTAAAGTTAAATCACAAAACTATCAAAATAAGAAACCTTAAGCGACTGATCCAAGATATCAACGTATAATCTCCGCGTCTCACTTTCGCTTTGTTCCTCATGGCTCTTCTAGCAATCTAGTTCGCCATGATCATAGTGAGTAGACTCGCGCTATCTCACATGATAGCGAAAGCTCCAACGCTGCGCCACATCTTGTCCAAGCTGCCAGGCAGTGCGATTAGTCCGTATTAGCAAAATTGATCTAGACTAAGTTATATGTTTAGGTAATAGCCCCGCAGGGTTCGAAATACGCTAAAATTTTCCATCACTCCCTAAGTTACCTCTAATCTCCGCACCCATGCTATCACATTCGTCTATAGATACAACGCCTTTAAAGTCTAACACGAGAATACTCTTAACTACTGTTTTCAGCATATTCCTTTGTATACTAACTATATGTCCTTAAAAGGTATAGTGCAGGGGTTGGCTTCGAAAGCGGAAACGGATGGCGCCAGCATACCGATAGGCAGGCACGTCGCTACGCGATTAAGCTTATTATAAAATAGTGCTTGGGGAGGGAGAACGGCTAAGTTATAGAATATAAACAAGTAAAAAAAATTCAATGTATTTAGGGAGCACACGTATGCGAGAGCTTCGGAGTTAATTGTGGCCCGTCGCGCCAGGTGGCCCGTTGCACCGGGATAGATGTTAAACATGAAAAAGAGAAGAGATCAATTTGCTCATTATCCCGTTAGAGCCGCACTTATTCGTTTGTGCTTACATGTTACACTTTGCTTCCTGCCTTTCAATGTAACTTTTGGGTTGAGATGAACTTTATTTCAACCCCGGGTTCTGAATAACATTCCGTTCAGCCTTGGAGGATTTCTGTCAAATAACTGATTAAGTCTTATGGATGATAAACGAAGCTTTGTTGTGAGAGTAACCAATGATGAAAATGGAACCTAAACATCCCGGCAGTAAGTTATTACCAGAATTCTGCATTTACTAACCGAAAATAGTCTTAATAAAGTAGTTATGCCAATCTATTTCTGAAGTCCTCTAGCTTGAGTGAAGCTTGAGTGAAGCTTGAGTGAAAATTAAATATAAGGAAGACAATTATTGATATGTGCTGCAAATCATGCTGGGAAGCTATAGATGAAGCAGAATTTTTTTGAAAGCAAGCTAAAAGTTCAATCATGTAGGTATTGTACAACCTCTTTTGAACAATTATAATGACCAGTAAGAAGAAGCTTGTCAAGAATTCGGTCAGTGCTATCTTGAGATATATTCATGTGTAATGCTGGGAATCGTGGGGATAGTGTCGTCTTTTCGTCTGTGGATGATTCTAGCAGTGAATTGTATTCCTCTTTAAGCACGCAGATCGTACGATACGCGTTATTTAAAGCTAATCGCAGGAATTCGTTTGTGTTGTCCGCATTCCAGCGAGCTGACTGAGCTTTGGAGAGATCTACGGAGACTTGATGGTACTTTTTACGAAGACTCCGAAGCTTCCGTGCCACTCCTTGTAATCCAAGTCTATGAACTGAGTTTTTGGATGCGATCTGGCCAATCAGTCTTCGAAAATGCGAGCGTCGTCCGATGAACCTATATTTGCCCACCCGAAGCGGCACACGCAGAGGAAGACGCATTTCGTAAGAACTTTGATGAAAAAATCGAGGCTGAAACGTCGAAATGCGTAACGTTATTTGTAAGTCTCCAGCCGTCTATGGAATCTTTTATTCATCTCATTCAATGTTTAATTTTAGATGTATTTAATGTTGCTAAGCTTAGGTCACAAGATAGTATCTAATGCTAATTATATTTCTTCTCCTGGTGATACTCTGATTATTATATCGATGAAGAAGAGGAGTTGTATATTGAAATTAAGCGGTCTAAGTGTATTTCTATTTTTAGCAAAAGATAAAAAGTACCTCCAACATGATAAATCTGTTCTATCATTTGGCAAATCACTAAAACCAGCAAAAGGGATCGTCACAGATATATCTGAATAAGTAATACAAATTCGAAAAGAGTTTAGAGCCTGAAATTGAAGAAAATCCCATCATGTTCAGTCTTTTCTCGATTGACACATTGTAGGACAGGAAGAATTTAAGGACGTCAGTGAGGCAACGAAGATGACTCGATTGTTATCTACTATGTATGCACATGCCTAAAAGAGGGATGTATGTTCCGCTGTTGGCTAACATAATCTAGGGAGTGCTTGTGGTTACTGTTGTGCAGCGTCTAAGGAAGCAGAAAGGAAGCGAAAAAGATAACTTAATTAGTCTCTAATTGCTTGACGAGCCTGAGTTCAAAGCGAATTCCGAGTCTCTCTTTGATTGTCTTTGCCAAATTAGTGCAGCTCGAACACACCTCAGAAGCATGTGCAACTTGTATGCTTGCATCGAAACGTGAAGAATGCTTGTCCTTATGCATCCCAAGACTCTGTTGTAGGTGGGCAAGTGATAACAGTTGCTCGCTCGCTTTACCATCTTGTCGGAGCCCTGGTAGTAAACAATGTTGTTGCACATAATGAGCCATTAATTGAACCTCGGCATGAGATCTGAAATAAGGATCCATTGGATAGTCCAACAGTTTAGAAAGTGTTAGCACCACTTCCTCCATCTCTTTCTCGTCTAGAATATGGAATCCACGCTCAGGTCGATCCCTCCTCGTCCGTCTACTGCAAGAGTAAGTCACTGGAAGCAAATTGCCGCGGTCGAGCCGCGCGACTGTTTTCCTGCAATCGCTAATTGGCACTCCTGTCCTGATATCAAGGAACCAAGTCATTAGCATGTTATCGTCATTGGTGTAGGCTTTGACAAACGCAACTTCGTCTGCAGCTTCAAATTTTGATCGCTCAAGCCCGCAGCCCGCCAGCAATTCTTGGATCGTCTGACGGTCCTGCATTTCTTGGTAGCGTGGAAGCTCCAGCTGTGGTGCACTGGACTCTAGTAAGGCTCTTCTATTATATCGCTCCTTCTCATTTGCAATCGTGTCTTCGGCAAAATCGTAGGCCGTGAGCTTTTGTGAGCATCTTGATGCGCTTAGCAACATCTTTGCTCCGTGATTCAACAAAGTCTGCACCACGTCGATCTGACCCCACAATGCAGCCTCCATCAAAGGAGTCCTTCCTATGGCATTTGCATGATCCAGATTCACGCCCTTCCTGGTCATCAGAAACTGGGCTAAGCTCCTGTGACCTTTGCATGCGACATGATGTAAAGCGGTATTTCCGTAGCGATCCGATATATTAATGAGCTCAGGGAACGTTTTGAGTAATGAGACCACTGACCGCATTTGGTTGGTGTCGTAGGCGATACAAAGACGATTAATGTGTTCTTGGTTCGGACGCTCATCAGCACCTAAAGCCATTTGCTCAAGGTCCTCCATGACCTTAGCTGTTTCCAGACTTAAGTCATTCTCAGTCGTTTTATGGTTCTTTAGTCCTACAGTACGGAAACGGAGGTAGTTTGCTTCTAAATCTGTGTATGTCTCAACGATCACGGATGATGTGCGCCATTTTCCGACTTCCCAAACAAAGCGAAAAAACAGTAGGTTCGGCTTCACAACTTTAACGCATCGCCTAGCACGGTCCTTTTGACTCCGATCCTTGAATTCTGCGAACTGTCTAATCGCACCAAGCACATCGTACGTGTATTGATGCTCTTCAAGACAGTAAGGGCAGTTGACCCAGACTGTATCCGCGGTGTAACGCGACGTAATTAAAAATCGATGCATAATAGTTTTGACGCCACACCTCACCTAGAAGCACTGGTGATAGAGGCGTGTCTCATGCTAAAAGCCGTTAGCACGAGGCTGAAACTAGACTCTATGAAGAAGTTCAGGGGGGCTCTCTCACGGGCTGAAGCATTAGGTAAAGACGAGGTTGAACATGAATTATTTATACTGCAAAGTTACTCTACGATACCTAAACTATATAAATATGAAATAATAAATATATTTTTACTTGGTTGTGCGAGCAGAGAGCGTGTTGAAGAAGATGGAGTTCTGTTGGAGAGCACAGGCCACAGCGACAACGGGAGACGCGGTTGCGCGAACACGAAAGCCGATGAGAAGCACCAGTCAACTCACGCTAGAAAACGCAGATGATACCTTCTGCTATCTCCAGAAGTTTAAAGTGCTTGTATGTCGAGAACATACCACGGCTGTGCAGAATCTCGACACGCATCTAAAGGAACACCATGTCGTGCATGTCCACGAGCGAAAGGCTATTGTTGAGAAGTATAGCGGCTTATGGATCAAGAAGCCAGATGAAGTTGAGCTTCCACGGCCCTATGGACTGCCATTTAAAGTTCTTGGTGATCCACTTGAAGCATTTCAATGCGAGCAGGCCGAGTGCAACTACATTACACGCAATAATAACGTGTTCAGAATACACTGTAGAGAGAAGCACAAGATAACGTGGAAAGGCAAAGCAAGCAAGTTGTTTGAAAAGGGTAAAGTGCAGACCTTTTTCCGCACCGGAGGTCTCCAACGATATTTTGTTGTGGCTGTTCCAGTAGAACCTGGGGAGATGAACAGGCTGCCAGCAGGTGTGAGGGTGGAGGTGGACACGCTAATGGATGAATGGAATGTTGTTAGAGCCGAGCACGAGAAAGAGATGCAAGTAATGGACGCAGAAGCTGCAAAGACAGACAGAACCGGCTGGTTCAATCGGACAGGCTGGCTAAAGCACTTCAAAAAGCGCAATCTCATCCACCTTGCACATGCAGCCCATCTTCCAGGCAAAGACGAACGAAAGCTGAAACAGGCTTCACGTATCGTCAAGCTGCTGATAGAGCAGAGCGTTGCAGGCCTTTCATCACTGGCCCGCGAGACGAGGCGCTAGTTGAAGAGTGCTAAACGAGAGGAAGTCGACCAAAGGCCAATTGCGCGACTACAGAACCCAGAAAGCCAGGCTCGATATGCCAGTTACATGGTCATGTTTATATGCTACGTCCTATGTTTGATCGAAGATAAACAAACCAGACCTGTGGACGAATCTGATTCCAGTTCCGACAGCGATAGTGAGTACAGCCAGACAAGCAGCGATGAGGGCGAAAGTGAAGAAGCAGATACAAAAGACACCTTCAAAGATGCCCGCGAGCTGTTCCCGTGGCGAGGTAGCCAGAAAGAGCTGGCTAGGGAGCTATGGGTTTTACTGGAGGGTAATGATGAGAAGGCGCAAGTTGCATTGCTATTGCGTCTACTCGCAGCGTTTATCTTTGAAGGCACAGGTGACGACCCGTTCAGCAGTGGGTTGATTCACTATGTGGCTGTGCTTGGTATAGACGCCGAGATGAATCGACTACGAACAGCGAGAAACTATTCTTATATGCTTGCAGGCATGGTATACTGCACAAGGGTGATCGCAGTTGAGGTACTTCTTCCATCAGCAGAACGCCAGCAACAGAGCGATGACGACCGAGCAGAGTTTATTCAAAAGCGGAGAGATTTTCTAGCAGACGGTTCGTACAGCCCTATGAGCGAGATGCTGAGTCTGCTAGCATATGGGAAATATGTTGCACTAAACAGCGGGAATTCAGGGAGTGCATTCTGGTCAGCAGACAAAAAGATTTTCTATTTTCGAGGAAAGCCTGTTGTACTTCGCAAATTTCAACAAATGGTGCGCGATATCATCACGGAATCAGAAGATATACTATGGCAGGAACTGCTCTGGATGGCAGGACGAGAAGAGCGTTTCACCATGAAGCTGGATCAGATCGTCGACGATGTCACGTTTGCCAAGCGAGGGTTGTCCTTTATACACAGAGAGGAGAATGGACTACAGGGTGGACTTGAGTGGATGCTTAATCGGGTTATGCAGACGACTCAAGGCCAAAGACTTCGATCTAAAGACGGAAAGTGGAACATCAAGCGGGTGAAACAATACGTATATCGCATCGAACGCTGGCTCGAGCTGCTTCTGTGTGGCGTCCATATGGTTTCTGGACAGCCAGGAAGAGGGACAGAGGTCACAACCATGCGACATGTGAATGGGATATTGCAAGATCGAAACATCTTCGTGGTGGACGGACAAGTCATGACGGTGGTTCGATATCACAAGTCTCAATCCCAGTGGGATAGGCTAAAGGTGGTGCCTCGCTTCTTACCTTGGAGGCTTGGGCAATTAATGGCGGTCTATCTAGCGTATCTGCAACCATTCCATGAATATCTTATTGTCCAGTGCCTCGGGGGAGGGTTTCACGATTATGTGTGGGCTGACGGGCGTGGTCCTTGGGATACAATGCGGTTGACACGCATACTCGCGCGTGAGACCGAAAAGCGACTGGGAGTGCGGCTTACTACGCTTGACTACCGGCATGTAGCCGTGGGCATTGGTAGAGTTGTGGTCAGCGAGGCGTTTGGCCATGGCTATGACGATGAGGTCGGAGAAGTCGAGGAAGCAGAAGTGGATGAGACGGGCGAAAGCGCGCTGGAGTTGCAGAATGCACGAACAACACAGACAGGACTTACCACCTACAGTGTGCCAGTAGACATCATCAAACACCTTAGCATACGCTCTATTGATACGTTTCGACCGCTGAGTGAGCTATGGCACAAGTTCTTCGGCCTTGCCAGTCGGCAGAAAGGCGGTGATACAGACCTGTTGGATGATATCCCTTGGGTAGGGCATGAAGTCCGTGCGAAGCGAGAAAGAGAAGGACAAAATACCGAGCTGTCAGGGCTCGAACTAGGCAGGCTGCGAAGGTTGGAGGAGCTGACTATCGATAGTCACGGTGTCTACACAGCAGTTTGCCACATAGTAGGTAGCCCGGACGCGTCTTTCAAGTCGGTTGAACAGGAGCAAGGTATACATGCAGTCATAAAAGGTCAGTCTCCACTGGTTGTGATACTACCAACTGGAGGTGGTAAAAGCCTGCTGTTCACAGTGCCAGCTTACCTTGACGGAACTGGTGTAACTGTGGTGGTGGTACCTTTCCGGGCGCTGGCTGACAATCTGGTGGAACAGATCATTAACAGCGGTGTCGAATGCATAGAATAGAAGCCGGGCTGCATGAGCCTCGCCTCTATCGTCGTTGTCAGTGCAGACTTCGCCGGTCGAGAGTTTGTCCCGTATGCGAAATTGCTATGCGAGAAGAAGTTGCTACGCCATGTTGTCATGGACGAGTGTCATCTGATCTTCACGTCTAGCAATTGGCGCCCCAAGCTGGCGGCATTGAGGAATCTCCGTGTTCTGTCTTGCCCAATCATACTGCTTACGGCTACACTTCCGCCAGTGTATGAACAGGAACTGAACAGCATGATGGACATTCGATATGCAACATATATCCGAGCAAGCACTGTGAGACCGAACATTCGATACATGGTAAGCTGGTGCAAGAGCTGGGAAGGACAGGCGACAGCTGTGTCAATGTGTCGGCGGCAGCAAGGTCGGCTCAAGAACGGGCTGAAGGGCATTGTATATTGCAACAGCAAGGCACAATGTGCAGAAATTGCGGATGAGCTCGGTTGCTTATACTATCATGCAGATGTAATAGACCGTGCAGAGCGTGTGAAGACTTGGGAGGAGAAAGGAGGGTTCATCACGGCAACGTCAGCGCTTGGGACAGGAGTAGACTTTCCCGGCGTTGTATTCGTTCTGCATGTGGGTGTACCGTGGAGTATGATCGACTACGCTCAAGAGAGTGGGCGAGGAGGGCGTGCAGGAGAAGTAACAGACTCTGTGATCATTGTTGAGGAGGGCGCTTTAGAGCGAAGACTAGCAAATAGCGGCGGATCAGCGGATGTTCATGCGATTGGGCATTTCATACAGACTAATAGCTGTAGGCATGGCGCGATAAGCGAGTACTTGGACGGAAACAGAGTCGAGTGTGGCAATGTAGACTCAACAGGATGCGATCGATGTGGGGAAGGGGCAGCAGAGTGGCATGAGTCGAATTCACGCTGGGGCTGGGAACGGGACAGGATACAGACAGTGCTGGATGAACTGACGAGAGGATGTGCAGTGTGCTGGGTCATAGGTGATTCGATACTACCGGCGGAGGGTGACTTCTGGGCTTCACATGACACACGGGACTGTAGGCGATATGAGGGGATGACAGACAGTGGATTAAAGCAGTTTCGAAGCTTGATACGATATCACGCGGATACTCACAGTTGTATGAAGTGCGGCATCAGTCAAGTGTACTGTGCGACGGGCGACGATATCAGAGAGAAGTGCCAGTGGGGGTTTGTATTGACACCCGTGGTTCGATCGGCAATTGCGATATAACAAGGGGTGGATATCATTCAAGAGGTTGGCTTCACAGGGGATCTCAGTGGAAATCTCACAGGGTATGCAAGATGGTTGGGACAACGGCATTGCTCAAGGGTGTGGGGAGAGGTGTTCAGCAACGCAATGGTGGTCTGTATTCAGTTAATTCTATTTTTAACATCACGGTAATGTGGAGTCTATAGTGGGGCTATTCTAGTCTGAGGTGGATGAAGTATACATAATAATATTAGGCTATATGAGAATATGTTCTAGCATGGTGCACGATACAGTAGGCACTGTGGTACTGTTAAGAGTACTTTATGTCTTAGTAAGCGTTGAGCAGTGTATAGCTCAGGCTAGTAGATGGGTTAGTTACAGCATAAGAAGGGTTTTTAATACAAGGTATACAAGGTGTAATAAGGAATTGGGTTGGTAGTGCAATCTAAATTTGAATATTGAAAATGGAAACTGCAGCGTTGCTCTCGAGGTTGTGTAAAGGTGTTGGGGCCGACCAACCCTTAGGAGCTCAGGACACTTGTTGTCAAGGCCGCTCCGTGGTGGGATATAGGGATATCCTCAGGTTCGAGGGCTTCAGAGCAAGGAATCAGCTGAGCAGGTAAGGTGGGTGCGAAACAGTTGGTGGTATTAGGTAAGTAAGATAAGATATATAATTGAAACGAGCGGAACGAAGCAAACAAAGCAAGACAGACAAAGCAAAGCAGACAAAGCAAAGCAGACAAAGCTGATTCTCTCTCTCTTCCTCGTCTCTAGGTTTCCTCCACAAGCCATACCCTATCCTTCTTATACTCCCATCATCTCCTAACCCTTGACATCCCTGTCCTCAATCCTACCCTGGCCCCATCTTCATGTCATGGCTAAGCTCGAGCTTGCCATAAGCTATGCTGAGCTGAATTGGCTAGCTGAGCCAGGCTCGAGCCATCAGGTGAGCTCTATTGATGCCTTGCTGCCTGATGGTTGCCTTCTCGAATCATACCTCGAGCTTTTCTCGAATCATACCTCGAGCTTTTCTCGAATCATGCCTCGAGCTTGTCTTGCGTATACTGAGCTGAATTGGCCGGTTGGGCTGGGCTTGAGCCATCAGGTGGGCCCTATCAATGCCTCGCTGCCTGATGGTCGCCTTCTCGAATTGTACCTTGTACCCCAGTACACTACTCTACCTCTATTATATGTTATTTCGAATAATTAAAAGTTTCTATTAATAAATTTTCTATATATATTGTAAAATCTGCTTTTAACTATATAACTCTATTTACGCCGTTTATACCCTAGCCGAGAGGAGGCAGCCCATCGGGTCCGATTCGTGAGGAAATGATACCAATCCGGTTAGATGTGGCTGTCACCAGGCTGAATCAGGGGGGTCGTCGGACGCGATTCGAAAGTGGGAATCGTGTATAATAATATTAGTTAATTACTAAACAAAGCTGAAAATAATTATCTAAAGTATCGCTTCTATTTGGATCTTATTTGAATCGTTTTAAAGCTATCTGTAGAACTTTGAAGGCCGGGGTCGAAAAGTGAGCTGAAGGAGATGGAGTTCAGTTGGGTTGCACAGACCACAGAGAACGAGAACGAGAAAGGAGACGCGAAGCATAGCAGCAGCAGGACGCGAAGACGAGAAGCAGCGAGAAGAGTCACAAGCCAGCTTACAGTGGAAACAGCAAAAGAATGTCTAACCTTCCTAGAAAGGTACAACATAGTTATATGCAAAGAGCACGCTATAGCTGTACAGAATCTTGATGTGCACTTGCGAGATTAGCATGGTGTCGCTATATATATTCAAGAGGAAATATTATCACAGTATACTGGGCTTTGGATAAAGAAGCCATATGAAGTCGAACTGCCACCGACAGGAATGCCGGTATTAAGAGTTCTTGGGCCACCTTTAACCGGGTTTCAATGTTAAAGAGAGGGCTGCTATTATATCACAATCAATAATAATAAGTTCAAAATGTATTACAAACAATAACATCAAATGCTATGGAAGGGGAGGACTAACACGTTTTTTAAATGTGTTAAAGTACAGACTTTTTTCTATATAGGGGGCCTTCAGCGATACTTTGTCGTCTCTAACCCAGATGATATAAGTACAAAAGACAAGTGATTGGAGGTGGATACACTGCTGGGTGAATGGAAGGCTACTCAGGCCAACTATAAAGAAGAGATGTAGATTATGGAAGCAGATGTTGCAAAGATGGATAGGACTGGATAGTTCAACCGGACTGGATGGCCTGCGCATTTCAGGAAGCGCAATCTTATCCACCTCGCACATGCAATCCGGCTCCTGGGCAAAGATGAACGGAAGCTGAAGCGAGCATCACATGCAGTCGAGCTCCTGGTAGAACAGAGCATCGCCGGCTTATCGTCACTATCGCGTGAGACGCGGCGATGGCTGAAGAGTGCAAAGCGAGAGGAAGTTGATCAAAGACCTATGGCAAGACTGCAGAACCCGGAGAGTCAGGCTCGCTATATGAGTTACATTGTTATGTTTGTATACTATGTCCTGCGCTTGGTCGAGAATGAAGAAGTGTACCTTGCAGCTTTATCTGATTCTGATGATTCTGACGAGTCTGAGGACCCTAATGATGATGATGATAGCGATAAGAATAGCGAAGACGGTCAAGAGGAAGAGCGTAGACCTGATCTATTTGAAGACGCCCGCGAGTTGTTCCCATGGCAAGGGAGACAGAAAGATCTAGCAAGGGAATTGTGGGCAGGCCTGGAGGAGAGCAACGAGAAAGCACATGTGACATTGCTGTTGCGCCTTCTTGACTCCTTCATATTTCAAAATACAGGCGATAATCTGTTCAGTAGTGGGCTGATCCACTATATAGCTGTGCTTAGGATTGATACTAAAATAAACCGGTTACAGACAGCGAAGAACTACTCTTACATGCTTGCTAGCATGGTCTATTGTACAAGAGTGATAGCTATAGAGTCACTTCTTCTATCTGCGGAAAGACAACAGCAGGGAGATGAAGATCGAGCAGGTTTCATCCAGAAACGATGAGAGTTTCTAGCTGATGGATTATACAGCCTAATAAGTGAGATGTTGAGTCTGCTGGCATACGGAAAGTACATTGCACTCAACAGTAGAAACTCAGGAAGCGCATTTTGGTCAGCAGATAAGAAGATCTTCTATTTCAGGGGTAAGCCTATTGTACTTCACTAATTTCGACAGATGGTCCGCGGCATTATCATGGATGCAGAAGATTCCTTATAGCAGGACCTTCTTTGGATGCTAGACCAGGAACAGTGTTTCACTATCAAGCTGGATTAGATTATAGACGATGTCACATTTACAAAGCGAGGCCTCTTGTTCATACACCAGCAGGAGAACGGACTCCAAGGTGGGCTCGAGTGGATGCTTAATCGGGTTATGCAGATAGCGCAAGGTTGAAGGCTTCAAACAAAAGACGGCAAGTGGAATATCAAGCGAGTAAAGCAATATGTATATCGCGTGGAACGTTGGCTTGAGTTGCTTCTATGCAGGGTCCACATGGCTTCTGGGCAGCCTGGAAGAGGGACAGAGGTCACAACTATGCGGCGCGTGAATGGGATGTTACAGGATCGAAACGTCTTTGTGGTAGACAGACAGGTCATGACAGTAGTCCGGTATTATAAGTCTCAATCTCAGTAGGATAGGCCAAAGGTTGTGCCTCAATTCTTACCATGGAGGCTTGGACAGCTTATGGTGGTCTATCTAGCGTACCTGCAACCATTCTACGAGTATCTTACTGTCCAGTGTCTCAGTAGAGGATTCCATAATTATATATAGGCTGACGGATATGGCCTATAGGATACAATGCGATTGACACAAATACTTGTGTGTGAGACTGAGAAACAACTTGGTGTACGGCTCACTACGCTTGACTATCGACATATAGCTGTGGGTATTGGTCGAGTTGTAGTCAGCGAGGCGTTTGGTCATGGCTATGACGACGAGGTTGGAGAAGTCGAGGAGGCAGAGGTGGATGAGACGGGTGAAAGCGCGCTGGAGTTGCAGAATGCACGAACAACACAGACAGGACTTACCACCTATAGTGTGCCGGTGGACATCATTAAACACCTTAGTATATGGTCGATTGATACGTTTCGACTGCTAAGTGAGTTGTAGCACAGGTTCTTCAGCCTTGCTAGTTGGCATAACGGCAGTGACACGGACTTCTTGGACGATACGCCATGGGCAGGGCAGGGAGCCTGTATGAAGCGAGAAAGAGAAAATGACAATACAGAGGTGTCGGAGCTAGAAATAGCTAGGCCACAAGAATTAGAGGAACAGGCTGTTGATAGTCATGGTGTCTACATAGCGGTTCAACATATAGTGGGTAGCCTAGATATATTATTTAAGTCGGTCGAGCAAGAGCAGGGTATACATGCAGTTATGAAAGGTCAGTCTCTATTAGTCGTGATACTACCAACCGGAGGTGGTAAGAGCCTGCTATTCACAGTGCCGGCCTACCTTGACAGGACTGGTGTCACTGTGGTGGTGGTACCTTTCCGGGCGCTGGCCGACAACCTAGTGGAATGGATTATAAATAGCGGTATCAAGTGCATAGAATGGAAGCCGGGATGTATGAGCCTGGCTTCTATTGTTGTTGTCAGTGCAGACTTTGCTGGCTGAGAGTTTCTTCTATATGCGAAATTATTATGCGAGAAGAAGCTACTGCGCTGTGTTGTCGTGGACGAGTGTTACCTCATCTTCATGTCTAGTAATTGGCGCCCCAAGCTGGCAGCGTTGAGGAATCTTCATATTTTGTCTCGCCCGATCATACTGCTTACAGCTACGCTTCCGCCAGTGTATAAGCAAGAGTTAAACAACATGATGGACATCAGATGCGCAACATATATCCGAACAAGCACTGTGAGACCGAGCATACGATATATTGTGAGCTGGTGCAAGAGTTGGGAGGGACAGGTGACAGCTGTGGCAATGTGTCGGCGACAGCAAGGTCGTCTCAAGAATGGGCTTAAGGGCATCGTATATTGCAATAGCAAGGTACAGTGTGCAGAAATTGCGGACAAGCTTGGCTGCTTATACTATCATGCCAATGTACTGGATTGTGCAGAGCGTGTGAAGGCTTAGGAAGAGAAAGGGGGCTTCATAACGGCAACGTCAGCGCTTGGAATGGGGGTGGACTTTCCCAGTGTCGTGTTCATCATGCATGTAGGCGTACCGTGGAGTATGATAGACTATGCGCAAGAGAGTGGGCGAGGAGGGCGTGCAGGCGAAGCAACAGACTCCGTGATTATTGTTGAGGAAGGCGCAGTGGAACAGAGAATTGCGAATAGTAATGGGTCGGCGGATGTGCACGCTATAGGGCATTTCATACAGATAAGTGGGTGCAGGCGGGGGGCGATGAGTGAGTACTTGGATGGGAATAGGGTTGAGTGCGGCGATATAGACTTGACAGGATGCGATCGATGTGGAGAAGGTTTGGCAGAGTGGCAAGAGTCCAACTCACGTTGGGGATGGGAATGGGATAGGGTACAGATAATACTGGATGAATTGACGAGAGGGTATGTGGTGTGTTGGGTAGTGGGTGAGTCAATGCTACTGGTGGAGAGTGATTTCTGGGCTTCATATGACACGCGAGATTGTAGAAGCTATAAGGGGATGACAGATAGTGAACTGAAGAAGTTTCGAGGCTCAATATAATATAGCACGGACTCTTATAGCTGTATAAAATATGGCATCAGTCAAGTGTACTGTATAACAGGTAAGGATGTTAGGGAGAAGTGTCAGTAGGGATTTATATTAACACCCATGGTTCAATCAGCAATTGCGATATAGCAAGGGGTTGGTATTATTTAAGAGACAGGTTTCACAGGAGAGCTAGGTGGAGACTTCACAGAGTATGGTAAATGGTTAGGACAATGGCATAGTTCAAGGGTTTGGGGATAAGTGTTCAGCAACGCAATGGTGGTCTGTATTTGGTTGATTCTGTCACGGGGTCATCCCCATGACACGTGATAGGCACCATTCTGTTGCCTTACCCGAACCCGAACATCAGCCAGTATAAGCCAACACAACCCAGTGTTGGCGAACCAGCCCTGAAGTTAGCCAACACTGGCTAACATAACCAGATGAAAGCCAGTATGAACTAGTGTTAGCGAACCTTGCCCCGAACCCTAATTAGGAAAGGTGGACAAGCCCCCCCCCTTTCCTCATGTATTTAAGTATATGCACTCTTCTGATATTCTCTCTTTCACGCAACGTCTTGATTCTGGTATTTACACCCATACTACACGAACTAGTAGATAGCCGACAATCTCATCATTTCACCTCACGTGATAACTTGAGCAGATCCCATCTATCGGTTTCGTGACACTAGGTGTTGGCATTATGGTTAGAGTAGGAGAGTATATGGTGGTTTTGGGGATTATTTCTGGGCGATTTAAAACTTGCTTAAAATAATGGAAATTAACAAAGACATCAGTAACAATATAACATATATATTTACTCTACTGAAAATAATTCTATTTATATTATTAGGAAGCATATCTATCATCGTTACTATTAAATATAGAAAAAGTCAGGTGGGTGGAGAGAAACAGAGGGTTAAAGTTGGTGGTGGGTTTGGTGTAAATAAGGTGGTAGAGTTAGAAGTGGGGTTTGTGATTAATTTAGGGTGTTTATTAATAGGGACTTCTAATAATAAAGAGTAAAGTATAAACGTAGT